CCTACTAGCTGTTAAATTCAGCTTACAGAAGCAGCTGACTCCGGTGCTTCAGCAGTAGTATAAGACCAAGGGTGAAGTTAGAGGACATATTCGATGTCACGAAAGCCAACCTCGAACCCTGAAGAGGCAGCAGACTGATGTTACGACACGTCCTCATGCCTCAGTGACACTACAGCGATGCAACACTGAGGAAGACAACCAGTGTCACTCAATTGTCGCAGCTGAACCCAAAGAATATATTGACGACAGGCCGGTTCTTTAGGGATTGGCCAACTAGCTCCAATATTAAGTCCTCTACTGGCAGCCTACATAGAGTCGACTGACCCAAAACACGCTGATGTGATGGGACCCACCGCCAGCTACCTATGTAGCAATGTGAGAGGACTGAGGGGAAAAATAGGTGAACTCAGAGACCTCCAGTCACACCTGAAACTATTGCTCACAATGAAATCAGCATATGTGATGGGGTTCTGGACAGGGAGCGTAACGATAAAAATGAAAGGGAGAATTGTCATATACCTCGCCATATATGGGCGCATCTCACTACAAGCATCGGATGTAATTAATAATTACGTGCGCATTAGGTTCCACCCGTTTTTCCTAAGCGCCAGCTGACACTTTTAGCTCCAGGTAAGAAGACTTAACACCCCCACCAGCATTTTGGTCAATGCTGACAAGGATGTGGCGGATAATAAGTTATCGGTACCTGGTGATGCTCATAATTTATCATACTACCTAGTCTTTCAAGGCTCTAGCTTTGTCCTTTCATTGATTTCATTGCGTGTTTTCCTGAATTGTAGCTTCATTCAAAGCAGACCCTTGCCATATATTCTACCAAAGTTTGTTCGTATGACATGCTTTGAGGACCACGTGTGATTGGTGGCGCAACTATGATCACTTTCTACTGTAACATTCAGAATGGCGACGTTCACACGCCAGTTATTAGTGTGAACTTTCTTGCGTCTCAGCATATTATGCGAGAATGAGCTGGTGTCACACTCCATGGAGAGTGTGGCCTTATTTTTACCATTATTGGGCTTGTTTGGATAGTTTTGTGTCTTATTTCCCCTCGAACATGAATTCTTCGAAGGCATTTCGAAATATAAAGGATTTTAGTCACGAGTGATGCATTTTGGCATGATTTCTCGTCGAGTTCTCTTTCGATTTTTGTGTTGAAGCCATGCGTGGACAACATCGACTTTTAGAGGCATGGGTTTTCGTCCAGAGACATGTCTTGATCAACGATAGTGGGTGAAGGGGCTGAATTAGGAGAGGTGTTATAATCCATATATCCTGCGTGCCGTGTTCTGTGTAGCTGATTTTGTGAGATTTAAGTGGGGGACACCATGAGTACCACCATTTTGGCTGTGGGTTTGTCTATTTAGGTGACTTGCAGTGTCTTTCCCTTCTTACTATTAGGCTTAGCGAGGTGATTGTTACCACGTCTTCCAACCACTGTCCTATCTGCTGCAACTTTTATTCGTTTGCAGCATCACGTAATACAATACGTTGCGAACTGATGGATTTCTTAATCTCTGTCTGCGTTTCAAACTGAAGGCGTATAGGGCACAGTGATCGTGCTGAGTCTTTTTCAGTCTATGGCAATTGGTCGGAGTTACGCATTTCGCCGCCCAAAGTAAGATGGCTTGAGCTATTTTTAACCCCTCAAAATCCGGTACATTGCAAACTATCACACATGATCTCGTATATAGTCTTCGTAACCTCTGTTGTGATGAAATTTGTCAGATTGTCTTGGAGTGGATCAAATAAGTTCGCCAATTCAACTGAGTTTCAGCCGTATCCCCGTCAACGACCAATTTGTTTGCCTGTGCTGGCTGAAACATTTGGTGGTGTAATAAGATAAAAACCAGCACAGTGTCACTGAATAAGTTTTCGTCCTCTTCTTTTTCAGAAAGAAACGCTGACGTAACTCCACTGGAGCAATAAGAGGACCGTTTAGCTGGGCTTCTTATAAACGATGACAATTAGCTCTGTACCCGCCTAATTCAAGCTTTACTTAGTTGAGATACACACCTCTCTCGCGCCCTCTTCGTCTTCTTCCTTCTTTGGTGGTGGCTGTTGCTAATGTGCATTACAGTTAACACTATGGTTTCCAAGGTACAAGAGTTCGGCAGCTTCTCTGTTTTATGATTATCTACTTGTACGCCCTCTTCAGATCATCCATAAATACATCGTTCAGCAGTCGTAAGTGTTGTATTCTCCTTTGCTAGTTATAGCAGTGTTAAGAACAGGCTAGCCACCAGGTCAGTTGGGCCAGGCCAGAGGGTCAGCAAATAGTTTGGTTAGCGCTCGATTCTTGAAGGACTGGTAGCCATATATCGATCGTAAACACTGTATTTAGTCGATACCAACTGGAAACAAATTCAAAGTCATTGAACCTGCCTTTGTAAAAGTCTTCCTTTGTAACTGATTTTGTGTCAAGTTCGCCAAGGTGTGAGGTTCCGGTGAGAATGCTTAGGGGTGTAAGTTCAAAGGTCTGAGATTTTACGTCGCGAATATGTACTTATAGTTCAGATATGCTGGCCATATTTTCTGAACATCCTATATTCATAGCCTTACTATACTTTACTTCCTGTACCTCATCTTCAGCTCCTCTATAGAGAGATCTAGTTGTTCTATTTCTGAAGTAAACGTTTTTATATTTATTTTCTGTTTTAATTTTATTATGGCTTGATTTCACAATGCATTTTGGTACAAATATGAAATTTTCAGCATGTGATATCGGTCGCCCAAATTCAGTAGGCCGATAATTGATATCAGGTGTGCGTCAGTTGAAGCTGGACTTGAAGGCTGAAGTCCGGTGACTCTGCATAAAGTGTAGTGAAGGGATCTATGCTAAATTTCTAGTATCGGTGCAACTACCAGCCATCAACATATTTTTACTTTCAGTTCTGGTCGCATCAGATTGTAGTGAAAAGGCAGCTTGTCGTTCATGGCGTATTGGCCAACTGTTTGACTCACTGCCACGTTTTGCGGGAGGCGTCTTGCTTAGTTAAGTGGGCGGAGATGTGTTATCAGTGATCAGACTAACCGGTGACTGAGTCCGTGGCTTTTTATTTGATTAACCACAACTAATTAGTAAAAGAGTCAGTGGTTACAGTTTTGGAAACAGGGAAACTAGTGTGCAAGGTCTCAAACAAAGATAGATTATATGTAACGAGTCACGCTAAAATGTAACGCGAACATCCATTTTTTACCAAAAGGTTAAAGCACTGGAATATTATAATATTTTTCACTTAGAATGAGTTAAAAAGTATAACTGTAATTTAGTTAAGGCAGTCTCCACCCAACTGAGACAATCATCAGAGGAGGTGTCACGGTTCCTGAACATTGAGGAATCCCCACTTACCATGCCTGTCGAAACTAGTTTCACTT